GTTGTGGCTGTGGTGGTTGTGGTGATTCTGGTGGTTGGGGTGGATCTGGTGGTTGCTGCTCTTATTTGTTGTTGTTGTTTCGCATGATGCTATTGGTGCGTTACCGTCCGTGGCTATCGTCAAGCATTCGCTGTTTCTCGTCTCGTTGTGTTGCTACCATGTTCGTGTCGAGTCAACCATCCAGGATCTACGGCTGGGAATCCTTATTGAAAGCAAGCTTCCTAATCGCTACAAGCGTGGTTTTGGACAAGGGCATAAATTGTGAGAAGCCTTCCCTGACCCTTCAACCCTAAACCTTATGAACTGTAAAGACCTAAACCCCAAGACCTAAACCTTTAAGACCCCTAAACCCTAGACCCGTAAACCTTAACCCCCAAACCCTAAACCCCTCAACCCAAAACCCCTAAACCCTAAACCCCTAAACCCCTAAACCTTAAACCCCTAAACCCCTACCCCTAAACCCTTAAACCCTAAGCCCTCCAAAGCCTCAGCGATAAAGACCGAGGAGCGTCGACCGGACTTTCCAGCGAAATGTCCACGTGAAGCTCCTGGCAGAGCGCGAAGATGAAGGTTCAATCTATTTTCCAGTCATTTAAAGGTTTAGGGTTTAGGGTTTAGGGTTTTAAAGGAAACTACAGGTGGGTAGTTTAGGGTATACAGGGCTTCTATAAGGCTTCCATAAGGTATATAGACCTTCTATCATGCTCCTATAAGGGTAACTACCCACCTGAAAATGTCCTCGATTTAGTGTAGGGTTTAGGGGTTTGGGTTTAGGCCTTGGGTTTGTTTCATAGTTTAGGGTTTTGGGTTTAGGGGTTCAGGGTTTTAGGGTCTAGGGTTAAGAGGGCGGAGGAGCTGCAACAGCAGCACTGGAAGTACTCGTAGGAGCCGGCGTAGTAGCAGTTACGAAAACAAAACACTAGCAGTTCAGTGGCTGAGCAATACAAGTCTTCATGCCACAAGCAGTTTGTAAACAGGCAGTCAAACTAGCAACAAGGAGTAGCGAAAGTCGTCACATGGCTGGTGGCCAAATCAAGACGCTACTGAGCAAGGCCAACCACGGGCCCAGAGGAAAAATCATGGCTATAGTAGCGAAAACAATGTAACAACCACCATGATTACATTGATAAGGTTGTTGTCGTTGCGTAGGGATCCGCCTCGATGATTACATTGATAACAGGCCCGAACACAATCGAAAATGGTAAAAACTGTGCAGGGTAAAGGCTACATTCACGGGGTCGAGCGTAAGTAAAAGAAAGCTCGCTCACAATTTTGGAGAAGCCTCAAAAGGTGGGATGCAGGTAGGTAGGATTAAGGATCCTTTCTTATCAGGACTCTGATTTTGGGATCACCCGAAACCCCAAACCCTAAACCCTAAATCCCAAACTCTAAACCCTAAACCCTAAACCCCCAAACCCCTAAACTCCTAAACCCCTAAACCCCTAAACCCCCCTAAAACCCCTCGACTGCACCCTAGTCCCAGGCGCGATGCCACGGTTCGACTCTTCGGCTCGGAGGCAGGGAGCATCCCAGATGGTCACCGGGCCGACGGTCGGCGTCCTGGGTCTCGGAAGTTGCTCGCTTTAGGGTCTTAGGTTGTAGGGTTTAGGGGTTTAGGGTTTAGGGTTTAGGGTTTAGGGTTTAGGGTTTAGGAAGTTGAGGAAGTTTAGGGTTTAGGGTTCAGGGCTTTGGGTTCAGGGCTTGGTGGGGCCAGTCAGCGTTTGGGATTCGATGCTACCGCTGACAACGCGCACAGCTCCTGTTGCCACGGGTGCAAGCACAGGAGATCGCTGGAGAGCTCACTTCAGCGAATTTGAATCGCCACGGTAGGAACTTCTGCCCCTACTCGTTTGTGCGACTCTCGCGAAAGAGCTCTCTGTTTAGCAGGCCTGGGTCTAGTCACATAGGTCTATCCACGGTTTAAAGTCCCTAAACCCTACACTCTAACCCTAAACCCGATATAGAGTTCAGGGTTTAGGGTTTAGGATTTAGAGTTTAGGGTTCAGGGTTTAGTCTCAACTCTTCTATAAGACCTATGCCAGGGACCCTCGGCCATGAGGTTCAAAGACTTCAGGTTGGGAGGGCCGAGGCGTTCGACTGCGGTCGCAGAAATAAAAAAAAGACCCTTTCGCAGTCCCCAGCGAGCCCAATGCCCTTCAATGAAGGAACAGACCTTCATTTACAGGGGTCCCCTAAACCCTAAACCCTAAACCTTATAGTATTATGGTCGAAACTCGATTCCTTAGTTAAGGGGTCTTGGGCTCTCTGGGTCGAGGGCCTCGGCAGCTGTACAGGAACCTGCTAAAAGCAAGCAGCAGAGCCACAGCTTAGGTGTGTCAGGCTGCAAAGATCGGGGACAAACCCAGGTTTGGAGGACCCCCACAGGTGAATTCTCTCGGCTCGCCCCTAAACCCTAAACCCTAAACAAATCGTAGCGTTCAGCCCTAGAGTTGCACAGAAGCCTCTGGAAGCCACATGGGTGTCAAATTAAAGTAACTGAGGGGCCCTGAGGGTCTGCGAAATGCTTCTTCGCCCGACCACCAGGCTTCAAAAAAGTCTTAGGGTTGAGGGTTTAGGGTTTAGGGTTTAGGGTTTAGGGTTTAGGGTTTAGGGTTTAGGGATGCATGGGATGGTCGCCTGAGAGGGCAGTCGCTGCTAGCGGGATGCTCAGCATCTCCGCAGCCTCAAGCACGTTCTTGGGCAGGTTATGTCTTCTATACTATATAGTATCTAGCAAATATCCTATACCATGAATTTTTGAGTCATCGATCGGGAACTGATTCTTGCGGCGATTGGCCGAGGCTACCGAACTGCAGCTCTCTTAAAGGAACCTACATCTAAGCCAATTTTTTGCCAACGTGCCAGTTCCATGTGCTCTCCATGGGACCGGCAAAGTTCAGCACTTCGTGCTCTGAACAGAACAAAATTTGGGCGCTGCAAGACCTGGTTCCAAAAATGGACCTAAGCCTCACGCAGCCTTGAAATGAAAACCGAAAAGTGCCATGTACGGTGGCCCATCCCTGTTGCCCGCGTGCTCTCTGCATCGCTGAACTCCGGTTCTTCGAAAGACCTGCCCTCGCCGTCGTAAAGTAACTATGCTGTACTGCATTAAGCCCTTATGGTGCTACCCATTCTGTTTTTGCACATGCCCCGGGCAACAGGTTACTTAAACACAACTGGCCACTCGGCTTCCTCCTCATAGCGCTGTAAAGGATGGCAACGACTTCGTCCGACGCATCATTGGCACAACCCACTCGTCGTCGACCTGGACTTCGATGAACGTGTTCTTCACCCGCACCTCGCGAAATTGTAATGATAAACCTTTAAACTCCTGAACCCCTAGACCCTAAACCCCCAAACCCTGAACCCTAAACCCCTAAACCCTAAACTCCTAAACCCCCAAACCCTGAACCCTAAACCCTAAACCCTTAAACTCCTAAACCCCCAAACCCTTAAACCCCAAAACCCCTAAACCCTAAACCCCTAAACCCCCAAAAAAAACTTAAACCCTAAACCCCCTAAACCCCTAAAACCCCTAAACCCCTAAAACCCCGAAACCCCTAAACCCTAAACCCCTAAACCCCCCTAAACCCCTAGACC